GCATATCGAGTATAGACATGTAGAAATATATATTTATTTTGTATGTATAATGTTAACATAGATTGTAATAATTATTTTACTATAATACCTTTAAAATATTACGCTATGCAAATTATTAGTATATTGTTTTTGTGACTATTATATAGAAACTTACTGTGTAGATATACCTGCTTAAAGTTTTTACAAGGTAATTTATATAGTTATAGAGACGACAAAATGTTATCAGTTATATTTTTTTATTTTAAATTATTAGATCTTATATTATACAGTTTTATTAAGAAATAATAATTTTTGATTTATTTTATTACATTTATATTTAATTTTCATTAAAATATAATAAGTGAAAACAAAGTATCAAGTTGTAAATATAACAATATAAATGGTCCTGTTATCGAGGCTTCAACTTTAAAAAAATAATATAAATTGAAAACAAAATAAATTGGTTTGACAAAAATGTTTAGTTTTTTTCTTTAATATCTTTATGGTATGGTTTTCTGTTGTAAAATTTCATAGTTATCACATTATCAAACTTGATAAATTGTTCTTAAAATCTTTTAAAAAAATTCAGGACCTTTAACAAGCATGCCGTGTTGTCTCCGCCTTACAGATATACTACTTAGCAAAAACTGCTTCAAATGGTTAATAATTGAGAGCCATAACTAAGAAACGCAATTTTCAACACATAAAAAAAAGAACTTAAGCTGTGAAACATCGTTTTGTCGATATCGGAACTATAAAATAGTTATTCAAGTTTGAAAAACACAAAAATAATGGATTTTGAAACAATAAGGACTTTTTTCGTATATGTGATATCAAAAAAATAAAAACGATATTTCAAAGATAATGTTTTGAACTATTTTGTACATCAATTTGTAGTCTTAACTATCATCACAGTCTGAGTAGTTCCATCCCCCGCAAAATAGTTTTTGCTATATTATACTATCGTAAGACAAATACAACAAAATATGCGGGTGTAGGGTCCTCTTAACTATACATCACAATACACTTTAGTTATTCTTCTATAGAGTTACGTTAAAAATTATGTTTTTAGTTAATATATTTTGACCAAGACACCTAGTATGGAATTCGTATGTATATACATAAACATTTTTTGTTTCTATTTAATAAATTGCTTAGTTATTTTGTATTCAATACCACTGGGCTATATAATATATTTTATTACAATTTGGCAATTCATCAAAAACCCAAAACGTGATCTGAAAAACCTATATCATACTTTGTTAGATTATAGATATAGACATCGAATAGAATAAGTAAACCAGGTAGTTTATTTACATATTATTTTAGCAGAGGTTGAGTCAAATATCAATGTATTGTAATATCGGTTGAAATCATTTTAAATTCGGGTCCATTGGTTCTACGTCATACTCAAGCATTTTTTCTTTGATTATCTACAACGTAGATGTATATTATTAAAATATTACTATTTATTGTATTTATACAGTTTTAATTTTATAATTTTCAATGAAAATATAATTTTTATAGTGGGATGTTTTCTATAGAGGTTTTATTTTATCAACGGTTTCAGTGTGATTTCGCTGTGTGTTAACGACATTATTTGACATGTTGATTTAAAATCCAAAGTGCGTAGTACGAAATTTTAATGTACGAGTTCAAATTTTTTTTTTTAAATTTTAATTTGCAAATACGCTCTAACTACCAGGGTTATTGTAGTTTCTGAAAGAACACATTACATTTCATAATTTCTAAAATATATTAATACTAGATTTGTATACAAAAAAAGTTTTTTATGTTTTTATGTACAAGTATATAGAACCTATAGGGACATATACTGTTATAATATACCTAAGTACATATTTTAAAATGTATTATGGACTTATTAGTTATTGCTATAATATAATTTGTTTTGTTATAATATCCTTTGTTCTATGTTCAGCCTCTACACTTCTATGAGAGAAAGAAAAAAATTTACAGAAAAAGAAATTTTGATTGTTTTATTAGATACCTAGAGAAGATATATTTTTTTTTAAGCAATTGTTAATTTTAATTTTAAATTTTATTCAATATAGAACTATAACTTGTGATGGCCAGATAAAATATAACAAAATATAGATAAGAAAACAAAATGACTAAAAATTATTTCTGTTAATTAAAATGTTTGCTTAAAATCTTCTTTGTTTGTTACTGAAAATAGGTACATAAAATATGGTTTTCTACAATATTAAAAGAAAAATATTTAAATAATTATTTTGATGAATTTAAACTTAAATCTTATTTACACCCACAGAAAATTTTGAATTTAAAATTTGGTTTGTTGTTTGGAAACTATATACAATTTTAGCCTTAGAGTCAATATATATTATATTGTCTCGAGTATTACTAAGAAATATATTTGTTACAGTATTGTTGTTAAATATATTATTTGTTAGCAGGACGGTATCAGGGAAGCAGTTATATTTTTAACGGAGAAGATTTATTTTGTATGAATATTATAGGTATTTACCTACCTATACAATGCGTATACATACCGCACTCTATCAGTTAATGTTTATTACAATTCACAGTTCACGTTTAATAATCTAATAAATCTTATGAACGATTTTATTGTATATGTAGTACGTGCCTATTAGGTACTTGTTTTATTGATGAACTTTTGGTCTTAAGTGTTTTAATCTATAAAAGTATTAATTTAACTATGCATCGATAACGCATTGTTTGTATAGTGTATATTCTAAACAGGTTAATTATATTTTAATGACATGTAAAATATGAAATTTTTTTCATAGAAATAAATGTTCAGTTAAAATTTAATATAGGTTCAATAATTATATGATCTACAATCTGTATCCTATAGGGTGAAGTAAGATTTGTTGTAGTATAGTATCCAGGATATTTTTTTTCGTTACCTACCCATCCTGTTAATAACGAAAATTATTCAACGGTGAACCCCAAAATAGTGTCAAGATCCACACGTGGTTTTGAAGTCGATCCTATTCGGTGTGTACTAGCATGTAATCTAATTTCTAAAATTAAATACCTATATATTTAGACACTTTTTATATTTCATGAATGTACTCCACTGCCCTGCAGGGTCTCTCACATCTCTCTCACTATATCTCTCCGTCTCTCTCTCCAGGCAAGTAGCTAGGATTACTAAGTAACACCAACATTTTTAATGGGTATCCAACATTTACTCTCTCTCCCCTCCTCTAGGTATAACCGTGTAGATTAAGGAAAAAATAATACAGAAACAGACACAATATTATCACTTTTCAACATTACATACATTAAAAGTAGAAAATTTAACAATAACATTTTAACAAGTAATAATAGTATTATACGAATACCCGCACACACAGTTGTAATAAAATAAATTGTACTCTATATATTATTAGTATAGCATTATTTGTTGATTATAGTAGGTAATCAGCGATAGTATTTTTATTTATAGATTATAAATAGGTACCTATATAGTATATAGTAATACTACTTATATTTTTACGCATAATAATTATCGTGGTACCCTCACCAAGCAATGAATCCGTGATGGGAATGCCGAATTATTAAAATAGGAATGCGGGTTGTACATGCGACTTTGTAATAATAAATTAATATAGAATATGGATGCATCGTGTCCTGCGAGTCTGCGACAAGTAACTATGAACGATTTCTATTCTGAGTACTGACAATCTGACCATGTTGTTCGAAAATCGAACTGCGTCTGATCTCTGATGTGATACAATTACAAGCTGTCATGTTCATATTATTTTTAATCGCCTTGAAAACACAACTTTAAAGATAATTATGTAATATCAACAAATATCATAATTGAAATGTTAAAATATGATTTAACTTATTTTACTCAATCATTTGAGCTCCAGATATTTCAATAATATAATCAGGTGGCTGGGCCACCCCTTAGGTACTTATATCTGTCTCTCTGTTTCTCCATACACATAATAACCTCATAGTTAAAACTTCTAACTTACAAAACAATTTTAAAACCTACATTGACCAGTGATCTTTAGGTTTCACTGCTTCAGCTATGAGGAAGTGCAAAAGAACTAACTTTGGTACAATTAAAACCTTCAAAACTGTTACTCTCAGGAAATAAATATTCCCTCCATAACATACGGAGAACTATAGATAACCATCGTACAGTTTTGAATAAATGTCACATATTACAAATTTATTATCATGAACTTCTCATAATAATATTTTTTTTTAATTCTTAAACTGTTTACTACATTTAATTTATCCTTTATATTTTATAGGTAACGTAGGTATGCAGAAGATATACCTACACGGTTACACACAGATGAAAGATAAACCGATATAATTTTGTTATAGTGGGGGACGACCATAAATTTTCCACATTACCCCTTCTGGTTTCAACGTTGATAAATTGTTTAACTACATACCTATCTAATAACTTTTATTTAAACACAAGGTAGGTCCCAATATTATTGTAATAATCCACTCGAATGTTCAATACAAAATACTTATTGATACAAATTTCAAATACCGACAATTTAACTACCACATTCATACCTACTTCGATTTTAATTCGGTAATTATAATTTATAACTATTTATAAGTACCAATATATTAAATAACACTATAACTTGTTATCTAGCGACTACATATATCTTATCAAGTTATAAGAAGTTCCTTAACGTATTTGATTTTTATATCAATTTTTTTATTTATAATGTTTAGTTAGTTTTCGATAGTTGAGTTTTGAGCTACAGAACTTTTAAAATTAAATATAGGTAAAGCTAAAGCAAATGGTTTAGCTTAAAAATTAAAAAAATATATATTGACATAATATATTATTAGTTTATGTATCTATTTATTATAATATAAACAATCACATTTTTATATTGAAAATGTGCATACAATGTACTTTCATACCGTTTAATGAAAACAAAACAGTTGATAGAAACAGCCAGATTTTAGCACTACAAATCACAAATGTATGACTAAGTTTGATAAATAATTAATGTTTTTTTACGAACCTGAATTAGTATAAGAGCGTGGTTGACTCAAATCATCTGTAGATGAACCCTGGTCACTAGGAAATGTACCATATTCCTTCATGACTTTTACCATTATCCAGAGCCAAGAGGTTTGATTTGTATTAATTGTATATTATATTGAATACTAAATTGTTTAACATCAAATCAACAAAGATTTTTAAAAAAATATTCATGGACAATTATATTATTTGGGTATCCTAACTGTTTAGTAAATTTACAGCACTTGACTGCTTTATCAACAGTCTAATCCATATTGCGTGAAAACAACTAATAATAATTGTTATCTATAGTTAAACGACATTAAATTACTATATTTTGTATACCTAAGTGCTATTGACAACAACTATATTATAATTAAATTATCTTTCACGTTGCTACATTATTATAAAGGTATTATACATATATTCATATTCAATCACTAGAATACCGGAATACCTGTTTATACATAACGATTCAATTATTATATTCATATTTTTATTAACAATTTATTTTAAAAGGTAGATCGTGGATCCCAATAATTACATTTTAAAGTTAAACATTTGGGGAAGAAAAGAGTATCATAGTATAGGGTTTATTCTGACTTCTAACTTTTAATTAGTTAACTGTACAAATATATATATATATTTATAAAAATGACACATAATGATGATATTATCATCATTGAGACCAGAGTATCATATTATACCAAATGCCATATTTATGGCATGCTGGTCAAATATTATATGATATAAAAGATGAAACATGTTATAGAATAAACGCAACAAGAAGTTGATTATGCATATTATTTTATAGGTACACATTACATATTTAATACACCCACCTCATGTCGTCTTCATCTGACTAAATACTATATTAATTTAATGGGCTCACGTGCATGGGTATAAAACTATAAATAATCAATAATTAATAAGGTAGGTGATATTGAGTAAATATATGGATTAAAATTGAATGTTTTTAGATTACAATATTAGAATAATAAACATACTTACCGGCTTACAAAGACATAATTATAGAAGGCGGCCTGAAAAACTAAGCCCTAAAAAAATAATGTATATATAACTTCAGCTCTCTCAAAAATTGTAAAATGAAAACGAATATAAATGCTGAGGTATAAAAAAAACAAGTAGGTTATAGTCATCACAAATATTTTATTTTAGTCCATCATTATAAAATGTAAATAAGTGGATGGGTACTGGCCAACTTAGTATGATTGACAATGTATTTTTTTTTTGTGTCTCTAATTAATAATAATACAAATTAACTTTAAATACCTATTATATTAATCCAATATTTATAATAAATACAAATATTTTTACATTCTGAAAATATTCAATTCCTTAGTCTCCATAGCAATATGAACTAAAACATTCTTACGGTGATTTGATTTCCATTGTATTTTCTACAAAAATAGACCCAACTTTTGCCAATTATACTGACTAATGACTAATCGGTCTAATCGTATAATACAACTTCTGAAAACAAATTTGAATTCTATACTTTTTTGAAATCCAACATTTAAACCTTTCAAAGTTTGATTTTTAAATGTCAAATATTAAGTGTTTTTAAATGTTAATTTAATATACCAATTGAACTAAGAAAATTAATTTACAAATGTAAGAAAGTCTATTCTAAGAAAATGTTATGACAAATTCTATTGTATTTCAGAAATTTAATCTGAAAACTGGCTTGTCTAATAAAAATGCAAATCAGTTAATACTTTAAGACAAAGAAAAGAACAAAATTATTTATGTAGAGTGATTTCGACATGTGCGTGCAAGTGTGGGAAGAACTATGCTATTTATTTTACAGTAAGCCGTCACACACAAATGATACAACGTACACATTTTGCACTTCAGGCGCCTAAAAATTGCCTATACCGAACTCCTTTTAAAAACTGTTATTATCAAATCCCCTTAGAAGAGGACCCCTTTAAGGGTGTACAGGAAAAATAAATAGGTTAGACACCTAAATGTATTCTGTGCTATAATGTAACTTTATATTATCACACATAATATAAGTTGATAATAGGTAAAATAAATACTTAATATACCTGTTTAATTTGTATTGCATTATTTAATACAACAGCATAATATAATACCCTATTATAATAAAATAGTGAAACAATGATATTAATTATTATTGTATTATAATACAATACCAATTTTGGTCTATCTAATGCGCATATTAATTTTAAATAAAATATACAGAAAAACAGGTATTTATTACAATTGTATTATTCAAACGTAATAATATGAATATCTAAGAGTATAGCATAATGGATGCGAGATCTAGTGGTTAGATTGTACGTTGTTTACTGTGTTTCAAAGGTACGCTAGATTTCGCTTCAGTCTTAGTGTTCAACATTGAGTTAAAATATTTTATTTTAAGAGGGCGCACTAGTGAACTAAATGTGGCATAAAAACATGGTTTCGTACTTCAAATAATACGGCTTATTGAAGCGGTTTACAGTAAAAACACCTATCATAAAAATTGTAGAGGAGAATTTTATCTAGAAACATAAGAAGCCCGATTTTTGATATTTTTATTAATTAGTTAAATAATTAGTCGATAAAAAGTTTGAAAAAACTTGTTAATATACATGCGATATAGGACGATTGGAATACGATATAAAAAATCGGGCTGCTTACGTTTCTAGATAAAATTTTCCTTTACAACTTTTATAATAGGTAATTTTACTGTAACCCGCTTTAATAAGCCGCATTATTTGAAGTACGAAACCAAGTTTTTATGCCATACCTATTTTGTTGATTATTTTGCTCTTTTAGTAAAGATTTGGATGTAAATCTCTTAAAACCTATCAAAACATTGCTCTCTAAAATTTCCAAAAATTTCTTAAAAAAGTAATTTCTAGCATCGAAATTATATTTCATAATAAACAAGAAAAATTTAAAAAGAAAACAGTATCATCAAAAATGAATATTGTTTTATATTTACCTATTATTTGATTATTGAACTCGTCGTATTCGTACACCTGACTTATGAATATTGACTACCGTATTTTACACATATTTTAAATTTTAAATCTTTTATTGTAAAATTGTTAAACAGCTGAAATGCGATTGCTTTCAAAATCTGAAGTATTTTAGAATATTTAGTTTCTAGGTGCCCTTATTTGATCATAAAGTATGATAATATTTACACCAAGTATTATAATATAGCAGTTACTACAATTTTTGTTTTCGATTCGGTATATAAGAAAAAAAACCAAATTACATCAAATGCCACATTAATTATATAATAATACATAGTAGGTACATTATAATCTATTATACACAAATTACAAATATTTAATTATTACAAACAAAATGTTATAATATCTATTATGACTAACCAACTACACTCATAAGTATTAGTCATAAGTTTATGCACTAAAAACTAACGAAATATGTACGCACTTATGCGCTTAAAAATCCTAATGTATGCGATTAAATATGCCCTTATTTTTTTTTCAACTTATAAATATGAGGAAAAAAATTATTAGTTATGAATTTATGAGATACTACTCACGATTATTATTTCAATTTCTTTGACTAGTAATTAAAAACATTATTTTATTATTTAATATACATTTTTAAAAATTACAATTCACAATTAATGATTTTGATAAATTTTCAAATTTGAAAAACATATTTTTGTACACCGAAAAGCTCCGCTCCACATCAATGGAATAAATTGGTGCGAATTTAAAATATAGTAAACTATCACAAGAAAATTCTTCATTTAAATTATCCATTGTCATTTCTTCCCCCAGCATAATTTTTGAAATTTTGGATAGTGTTTTAAAGCCAAGATTGTTTTCAATAACTTGTTCAAATTTAACGAATACATCGTTAAAGTGATGAAAAATATTAAAACTTTTAAAAAAATAAACATATTCTTCATTAGACGTTATCGGGCAGGCACGGTCGTGGGGTTATAACAAATCTTTTAGAAGTAATTTATTTTATCAATTACATAATATTTGCCTCAAATATGCAGTTAATAACAAAAAAAATTGTAAAAATGCAAAATACATAAAAAAAAACCCAAAATATGCAATTATATGCAAAATAAAATGTTGTATTTGGATTTGTATAAGTATAATTCAAATGAATTGTAGCTGATCTAGCAATTTTATAGTCCATTCAGTAAAAACATCCAAATGCATGGACTTCCGGGCCCTAGTCATAAGTATTATAATCGAACAAATTACTAAAATTGAATAATAAAAATTACTATATATAAACATTATCTTTAAACATTATTGTGACTCTAGGTAAACGTATCAAATTTTCTCAACGGCAATCCTACAACACTAGAATTGAATATGCTGTTGTATCTTACAATACGCCAGAAGAGTTTCTTAGAAAATAACACAAAAACGTAATTAATGACATAAGTAAAGGTGAAATAAGTCGTAATTTATATATCAGAAGAAAATTATAATTATAATATATTAATTCCGTAGGAGATAAAGGGAAAAAATATTTGAAATTGAAACAAATGAAAACTGAAAACAAAAAATTAAATATAATTCAATTTTAAAAATAAAAATGGGAAGGGGGCATGGGCGCCCGCTGGCAAATGCATTTTGAGAATCAAAAAAGAAAAATATTTTAAAAAATCAAATAGGATTAAATTTTAAAATAAAAATGGGAAGGGGGACGCAGGCACCCGCAGGCAAATGCGTTTTGAGGATCAAAAAAAAAATATATATATGAAAATATGTGCATTAAAAGCAAACATTAAAGACTGCAGTCTACAATATCAGTATTCCTAAACCAAGATCTTAATTTACAATGATTAAATGCTGGTTATCAAAATTTAAATATGGTATTTAAGTCATTGAGAATTCAATTTTAAAAATAAAAATGGGGAAGGAGGACGCGGGCGCCCGCAGACAAATGCATTTTTAGAATCAAAAAAGAAACATATTTTAAAAAATCAAATAGGATTCAATTTTTAAAATAAAAATGGGAAGGGGGACGCGGGCACCTGCAGGCAAATGCATTTTGAGAATCAAAAAAGAAAAATATTTTAAAAATCAAATAGGATTCAATTTTTAAAATAAAAATGGGAAGGGGGACAATGGGACATGGGCGCCCGCAGGCAAATGCATTTTGTGGATCAAAAAAAAAAAATATTTAAAAAAATCAAATAGGATTCAATTTTTAAAATAAAAATTTTAAGGGGGGTATGGGCGCCCGCGGGCA